TGCTCTGATTTCAGAACCCCACTCCCCACTGCAGAAAACAGGAGCAATGCAAAAGGAAGAAAGAAGTAACAAGAGTCACACCAAATCCCGAAAATCAGAGGTGTTTACAACTGACCTTATGTCTCTTCATCTTTTCCATGCACATATGTGTGTTTTACATGAGTTAGAGCATATTAAATATAGTTCCGTGTTCTATTTTCATTATTAAATATTACCATTAAATCATTAAGTAATATGTGATTATAAAATGATTCTAACTGGTTGAGGTTTACAAAGTATCTACAAAAAAGATCTTTTTTTTTTTTTTTTAAGAATTATTTATTTATTTCCATGTGTTGTTGTTATCTTTTAATTTGGCCAGAGAGAAAGAAAGAGAGAAAGGGAAAGGGAGAAAGCCTGCTACCAGGTCTAGGATTTGAACCATGTTTAGCCACGTGGGAGTCCAGTATCTTAACCACCACACCACTTGCTGGCCCCCCAAAAAGACCTCTTAATTATGATGGAGAGGGGCCAGCAGATGGTGTAGCAGTTATGTCACTGGACTCAGTTGACTGCAGTTCAATACCTAGACCCAGTGGCTTGAAAATCACTCCAGGCACATGTGCGTGCATGTCCAAGATCCTGAGAGAAGACTGGGGGAGAAAGGATTGCAGCATGCCATCTCCCCTGGTGAGGTGATTTCTCGCTTTCTCTCTGTTTGTCTCTCTCTCTCTCTCTCCAGTGAGCGCATACATCCTATAGCAAAAATCTCCCTCAAAAAAAAAAATTATGGAGAAACTCCTTTGTAAAGATGGCAGTTTAGCACACACACTTACATAAGCTCACTAAATGGAATTATGCACAGAGCCACCAAAAGGCTCAGGAACTGGGGACCCTGGGTGCTCAAGCATCTGGTAAGGGAGTGTTAAAAGAACAGGTATAAGTCATTTAAAGAAGCAAACAGTCACAGAGACAGGATATCAGTTGCCAGGGACTTGGGAGAGAGTGAGGAGATAGCATTTGACAAGGAGAGTTTCCATTCGGGAAGATGAAAGAGTTCTGGAAAGGGGTGGCGATGGTTGCACAATATAGGAAGTGTGTGTAATGGCGCTGAGTCACACACTTAAAAATGGTTACATGGTGCGGTTGTGTGGCTTAGTAGCTAAGGTGCTGGATCCCACATGGTTAACACTGTGTTTTAGACTTGAAAGCTTGAAAAATGCACAGGGTGAGTGTGCA